TCCCTATCTGTAAAATGGAGATAATAATAGCACCTAGGATTGTTATTAGGATAAAATGACTTAATAGTTGTAAAACACTTTGCTTAAGGGTCTATATGAATGCTAGCTATTTTCCAATTCTTTCCTTTAGTACTTTCATTTTATTTATCACACATTTTTTTTAAAAAAAACCCTCTTTTTAAATTTTTTTCTGGGAATTCTAAATGACCTTGTAGCCACACTGCATTTTTGAAGCTTTGCTTATAGGTGCTTTGGAGTTATTCTCCTTTTCTGTGTTCCTGTCTTAGGTAGCCCTCACACTATTTGGCTCTTTGTAATGGATTTTTTTTTTTAATTTGCACATCCTTACAGCCTTACTTCTAGGATTGGGACTTTATGATAGGGCCAGGCTCTTCAGACTTCTTGCAAGAGTAATATTACCTTGGGTGATCCTGACCTATATTATATGCTGCTATGTCCTCTCATTACTGAATGCTGGGTTCTTTGAGGAATACAGGGGCAGTTCAGATGAGGGAGCTGCGCACTTTCAGTGGGCCCTCTACAGTAGAATCTAGGACATGGTCTGAATGCAGCCCTCCTGGATTTTCCAAGGTCTAGGCCATCAACTGGGTCTAGATAATACAGCTGCAGACTTGGAGGAGTTCCATTAGACAGTTGCTGGTCCCAGCCCCTGTCAGCTACCTGGAAGGCTCTGCAACAGAGCCATAGCCTGTACTGGATTAATCCCCTGGAGTAGAACCCTTAACCATTAGGGTTCAAAGTCTACAATCCCTATTCATGCAACTAAACTGCAGACCCAATTCTGGTCTGAGAATGAGAGTTGAATCCTAGATCTTCCTCTGAGGTCACATGCCTGTGGATCAGAATTCTAACTACTCATCGTGATTTCTCCTTAGGTTTTCTGATCACTACTCAGCCTCGTGCCCTTTATAGCTCTCTGTAGGGACAGCTGGACTATGTTACTTCCTACTGCTTTATCATCTTTGCTTTCTAGGTGCACTTCTTAGGTTCATAGGGTTTAGTGTTAAGTTAAGTGCTGTCTTTGTATTATTTTGTAATGTTTCTAATTGTCTCTTTTCTAATTGTTAATCTAATTGTTTTTAATTGTATGAGTTAGACTCACAGTTAGACTGTGAACTAGCTCCTTGAGAGCAGAGAGCATGCCTTCTTCACCTTCTGTAACTTCCATGGGAGTTACATAAATGGGCCTCAGCTTGATTGATTTAAAACACATGAGTGGAGTAACATTTTTCTTCAGTTGAATTTATCATCTTATGCACTTTTTGTTATCACTGTTGTTCAGCCATTTTTCAGTTGTGTCTGAATTTTTGTGACCCCATTTTTGTTTTTCTCTGCAAAGGTATTAAGTGGTTTGCCATTTCCTCTTCCAGCTCATTTTATAGATGAGGAGACAGACAAACAGGGTTAAGTGATTTGCCCAGGGTCACACAGCTAGGAAGTGTCTGAAGCCAGATTTGAACTCAGGAAGACTCATTTTCCTGGCTCCAGGCCTGGTACTCTATCCACTGCTACACCTAACTGCCCCCTTGTGTACTTCTCATAGGCCAAATGCATATTTAAAAAACTTTAGGCACAAAACAATAGCCTGAAGTAGTATGAAGAATGTAACTTTGAGAGAGGATTCTGAGAAGATGGCAGAGTAGGTCAGAAAATTTCAAGCTCTCAAGATTTTCTTCCACAAAAGAGATAAAATAGGGCGAACATAGAGTAGTGAAAATAAATAAGAGTAGGGGAAGAACAGGGGTCCTCCTGGGACAATCAGAGAAGATCTGAGAAAAATCCCAGTATGAGATTTTGTCCCAGTGAAGAGTAAACACCTCCAGGCTAGGGACAGCTTAAACAACAAGCAGCAAGCCTTGGGGTTAGCTGTGTTGAGGCTGCCTCCTGGTCCCAATCACCCCAGGACAGTGAAGGAAGTTGGGCATCTGAGTTGGGCAAGAGCTAGGGAAACTTTGCTGACAAGGAACACCATACCCAGCTGTGCTGAGATGTGATGGGGGTGAGAAGGAGCCAGTCCTTGCCTGGTGGGTGCAGAAGCAATGGGGCAGGACACCCGTTCACTGGCTGTGGCCACTTACAGGAGGCTGGAGTGGTTTGAGTTCAAGGTCAGAGGGGAGAACTGAAGAGCATCTGAGGCCAAAGGCACCATCACCCATACCCCAGGACTGGAGGTGATTATAAACACTAAACTATTAAAAAATGCACAGACAAAAGAGGAAGAATCCAACCACAGAGAGCTACTATGGGAATAGTTTGTCTTCAGAGGAGGATACTGAAGTAAAGAAACCCTCTTCTACACTAAAGAGTAATGTCAAATGGTCACCTGCCCAAAAAGAATTCATTGAAGAACTTAAAAAAGACTTTAAAAATCAAATGAGAGAGATTGCGGAAAAACTAAAAAGAAAAATAAGAATAATCCAAGAAAAAACAAGAAGACTATGAAAAGAAAGCCAACCAATTAGGAAAGGAGATCCAGAATCTTAAGGAAGAAAATGAATCCTTGAAAATCAGAATTGAGCAAGGGGAAGCCAGTGAAGTTATAAGAGATCATGAAATTATATATACATATACATACACACACACACGCACACACATATATATGTATATACAATGTATATATAGATATGCATATATAATGTGTGTGCATATATATATATAAATATATATGTATATATACATATAAATATACATATAAATATATATATGTATATATACATATAATGAAAAATTGAAGAGAATATGAAACATATCATAAGAAAAATAACAGATCTAGAGAACAGATCAAGAAGCAAAAACATAAGAATAATGAGACTACCTGAAAGCTACGATCAAAAAAATAATCTTGATACAATAACACAAGAAATAATTAAATAAAATTGTTCTGAAGCATTAGAACAAGAGGGGAAAGTAGAAATAGAAAAAAAATCCACTGATCACCACCTGAAAGAGATCCTAGGAGGAAAACTCACAGGAATATTATAGTCAAATTCTGAAGCCCCCAGCTCAAGGACAAAATATTATGAGCAACAAGAAAAAAACAATTTACATATGACAGTAGCACAATTAGAATCACACAAGACCTAGCAGTGGTGACACTAAAAGACTGCAGGGCTTGGAACACTATATATCGAAGAGCAAAGAAACTGGGGTTCTGGCTGAAAATATCATACCCAGCAAAGCTAAGCATAATTCTGAATGAAAAAAAAATGGATATTTAATGAATTGTTAGACATTCAGGACTTTTTAAAAACCAAACCAAACCAAAACAAACAAACTTGAACTTAATAGAAGATTTGACACACAAGAGCCAAGAGAACTATAATGTACATACCAATGACCAATTACAAGGTACTCAATAAGGAGAGACTGTTTACCTTTTATGTATATAAATGTAAAACCTATATCTAAGACTGTTATTAGTAATTAGGTAGCTTATAAGAAAGATTGGGGTAGACCTGAGTATGATATAACTTCAAAAAGTAAAACTATTCAAGAACAGCTAAAAGTAATTATCTTTTACAAATGAGTTGTGAGAGGAAGAACTAATGCAGAGGAATTAGATGGGGAGGGGGGCTGTTAGTTCTGGAAACCTACTTTCCTTGGGAATGGGTTCAAGAGGGAAAAATACATATACATGTGGAAGAGTATAAAAGACTTCTAAATTTAGAAAGAAACACAATTCTAAGGGGATAGGAGGGGGAAGAAGATAAAGGAGGGATCTTTAGCGGAAAGGGTGAGGGAACAGGTTTAAAGGGGGATATAGAAGCACATTTTGTTTTATGGGAAGGGGAGATAAGGGAGGGATTGTTGTGGGAGTGTAGGTTAAGTAATAGGAGGGCAAAGTAGTGGGTAGAAGAAAAGCAATAGGTCAAAGGGGTGTATGAAAGGGTATTTAGATTTATAGGAATGGCAGGATAAAGGAGGGATCACTGCAAGGTAGCTGGTAGAAGTAAAGTAGAGGACTTAGGCGAGGTAGAAAAAAAGAGATAAGTATAAACGTGAAAACAGAGATTAGGAGTAGAATCTCTTAGGGAAAGCATATGTTTACATATGTACGTATGTAAGTATGTATGTGCATATATGTACATGTGTATGTATATTTCAATACCTATATGTAAATATATCCATGCTTAATTATAGCCTGTGGTGGGGAGGGAGGAGGGAGGGAGAAAAAAGAACAAAGTAAAAAGTATACAGCAGAGAACAAAAGAAAACCTACAAGGAAGCAAAGAAAAGATGTACAGCTTTCAACATAACACATGGTATTTAATATGTAGGCTTTCTTGAAATGAAAAGTTATTGCTATATATTCTGAATCCCCTCCTATGTTCTGCTGTGTGCATGACATTTTTTCCCTTTTCTTATTTTAAAGTTTAATGTTTAAGTTTATAATGTTTTTTTCTTTTCTTATTATGTATTTAAGTTTTAATATTTGTCTGAAATTTTAAAAAAAGATTAAAAAAGAATAACTTTAAAATCCCAAACTACCTGGAAATTTAAATTTCTTGCTTTATTAGAGCAGCATAGGAACAATGCCGAGAGAATTTCTGAATGTATTTCTATGACTCTGCAAGACTTCCAAGATCCCTGCAATCTTGGAGCTCACTACTTTCCCATTCTTATCATTTATTACACCCCCACTTACCCCAAACTCCCTCTGCTCCAATCAATCTGGACTTTTTTATGTTCCCTGATCATTTTTGGTACTTTCCTTCCATTATTTCTTTGTTCCCGTGGTTCCCTATGCCTGACGTATCCTCCTTCTCTCTCTTACTAGTTGGATCCCTACCTGTCCTTGACAGCCCAACTTAAATGCTCCCTCCTCCAGTAATTCTTCCATTATTGCCTTTTCCAGTAATAACCGTTCCCTGTGTACCTGTGGAAGCACTTTCTTTTGTACCTTGTCAGGATGTTATGCACTTTTAATACCGACACCATCTTTTCATTACTAACATTTTACCTATGTTTCTGTATGGCAGTGGGACATAGAAAATCACTACCTCTGAAAAACTATAGATGAGCATCACACAGAGGGTAGTGGAGAAGTATATGGTGAATAAGCAGGCTGTAACATGTAACGGATGAAGAACTCCAAACAAGAACAGGAATAAAAGGCATCATCAAGGAACTATATGATGAATAAATAAATGAATGAATGAATGAAATGATGAATGAAAAGTGGGCTTCTTGTGTGGTAAGAATGAAGGATGGACAGGTGAACAGAGTGCTCCATTAGTACCCTTTCAGTGTTAGAATAATCCAAAAGTCTCAGCCATGTTGTATGGACTCACTGTGGTAAACTTTTGGGACATTATGTACAAGAGTCACCAGGATTAGCAGCCAAGAATGAGTAGCAATCTGCATTATTGAAGGGGTTTTCTGAATCAATGACATCATGAATCTACTTGAATATTTGGTAATTTGTCATATGTAATACATTTATCATCTTATTTGACTAAAAAGTTCTTGACCATGCAGAATGAGACCATGTCTTATTTTTTCTTTTTTTTAAATTTTATTTTTAATTTATGAAATAACATAAGGATTTCCATAAAATAGAATTTAAAAAGATGATTGTACATGAAACTGCAAATCTATTGTGTACAACTTGTTATTCCTTTTAAATATATAATAAAGTTTTCATGTAATTTTCTTTAATTTTCTTCCTTTTACCCCCTCCTCCCTCCTCCCACTTTAGAGGTGGCTACCATTACACACACATACATACATACGTACACACACACACACACACACACACACACACACAAAATCATTCTATATATACTTCTATTTATCAGTTCTTTCTCTGTATGCACATCTTAGTATTTTCCTTTATAAGTACTTGGTAGTTAATTTGGGTATTTATGATGGTCAAAGTGACTTAATCACTCAAAGCTGTTCTTAAAACAATATTGCTGTTACTATATACAACATTCTCTTCGTTCTGCTCATCTCACTCTTCATTATTTCATGCAAGTCTTATTTATAAAGTGTTTATCTTCCCAGCCCCTTGCCCAATGCTATGGGCTCTGGAGACTCTCAATGACAATTTTGTTGTTCAGTCATTTCAATCATGTTTGATTCTTTGTGACTCCATTTGGGATTTTCTTGGCAAAGATATTAGAGTAGTTAGCTATTTCCTTTTCTAGATCACTTTATAGATGAGGAAATTGAGGCACACAGGGTTAGGGGACTTGCCAAGGGTCACACAGCTAGTAAGTGCCTGAAGTTAGATTTGAACTGAGGTTTTCGTGACTCTAGACCTGGCACTCTATCCACTGTGCTACCTAGCTGCCCTCAATAACAACAGCCAAATTTATGTATTGTTTTAGGGTTTTCATTGTACATTTCATCCCCATGCCAATATGGTAGATACAACATATATTATTATCCCCATTTTACGCATGAGGAAGCTGAGACTACAAGGAAGTAAGTGACTTGTCTGTGATCAACACAGGGCCTGGCACATAGTATGCACTTAATAAATATTTATTGATTGGTTGATTGATAATGTTAGAGATGGGATTCAAATCCAGATTGTGACTTGTTGAATTATTGGTGGGTGAACCTACATACAATTTTGTGTCTCTAAATTAGCATCTATTTTCTTTGAGATTTCCAGAGCACTTTTCCCACAAGAACCCTGTGAGGTAGGTAATGTGAGTATCTCTATTTTATAGATTTAAATCTGAAGGTCAGAGAGGTTGTGTCATCATTGCTAGTTAAGTATGAGAGCTGATACTCTGACCTATCAGCCTTTTGGTTTTTCCTTCCTTCCATTCCTCCCTTCCTTCAGTCCTTCCAACTCAAGCTCCCCATCCTTATGACAGCTACATGCTTGATTTGTACTTGCCTTGTATAATCTGTAGTATCATGTACTCATAGGTTTTAGGCTGTTTTATGGTATTTGAAAACTTTGTTGTGGTAGTTGCTCAGTCATTTCAATACTGTCCAACTCTTTGTGACCCCATTTGGGGTTTTCTTGGCAAAGATACTGGAATTCTTTGCCAATTCTTTCTCCAGCTCATTTTATAGATGAGGAAGCTGAAGCAAATAAGATTAAGTTGTCCTGGGTCACACAGCTTTTAAGTATTAGAGGCTGGATTTGAACTCAGGTCTTCCTGACTTCAGGCCTGGCACTCTATCCACTGGGCTACCTAGCTGCCCCTTGAAGATTTTACAGCACTTTTTAAAAAAAATATGAGATATCAAAATCATTAAGCTATATACTATTCAAAAGTAAAGCATATGGGAAATAGTTGAATAAGTTGGACCCCTTCATAATGCTAGTGTGGTAGGACAAAGCTAATACCTACCTCACAGATGAACATTTTTATTGTGTTCAGTTATGTGTCAGAGGACAGGAATTAACCTATAGTATATTTGAATTCCTGTAACGTTTCCTTAGCTTCTCACAGAGGCTGACTATACGTTTTTTTATGTGGCTGATTTTTTCTTTCTTCTTTCTTTCTTCTAACTTCTCCTTTCTTGATGTTTTCAGGGAATTCTAGTGCTGTAGGATTTTGTATTGTAGTTTGTGGTTGAGAAAAGCAAAGGAAACCTTGTTTCCATATCCCACCTTCTAGCACATTTCATCGACCTTTGTTCCATTTGCTCCTTTAATTATATCTATCATTATTACCATATTTATGAGTAGCTTCCAACCTTTTGGGTCAGAAGAGTGAAATTAATATTATGGAATTAGAGAAATCTAAAGGAACAACTGTGAAACTTAGCAAAATTTTAGAATCAAATAAACAATTTGTGAAGTTTAACTAATTATTTTTGGATAGTGAGAAAAAGCAGAGTTTGTACTTGATTAATCTAAGAAGATTTCTTGGGGAGGATAAGTGTCACACTGGTTTTTTTTTTTTTTGGTAAGGCAATTGGGGTTAAGTGACTTCCCTAGGGTCACACAGCTAGTAAGGATGAAGTGTCAGGTCAGAGACTGGATTTTAACTCAGGTCCTCCTGACTCCAAGGCTGGAGTTCTATCCACTGTGCCACCTAGCTGCCCCTACACACTATTTAATTGAACAACTGGATTTCTCTTGGAGGGGTAAGAAGTATATGAAATCTGTAAGAACATGTGTGAGAATAGTCAGGGGCGCTGGGGCCTGGTAAATGTCAGGTATGACCCATGACACATTTTAAGTTTTGGTCTAGGGATCATGGTGCCCACATGTCATGTGTATCAGCATCATTAGCTGTATTAGCAGAGACAGTACACCTCTGGTCAGAGAGCTTCACAGTAGACTGAGTATGTAAGTAAATAAGCCAGTTTACTAGTAATCGGGAACCCCTGTGATCAGGGTACTGCACATAACAGTCACAAATAATGGTCAGGTATGGTTTGTGCCTTTGAAAACTTTGAAAGAAATGCTATTATGATCATTGAGGACCAGCTTAAAAATAAGTTAAGAAGAGTAATCTTGTTTTCTTTTTTGACAGGGTTACCAGACTGGTACATGTGGTAGATTCTATTAACCAGGAGTGCTTAACTTTTTTTTTCAGTTATGAACTCCTTTGGCAGTCTGGTGAAATTTACAGAGTCTTTCTCAGAAAAAATATTTTTAAATGCATACAATAAATATATTACAAAATAGATTGTGTCCTATGAAGTCATTATAATTGGTGGTATTATCAGATTTTCAGATTGACATGAAATTGGGAAGGGTGGTTAATTTGTGGAAGGACCGAAACATGATTCCGAGAATTCCTGTAATTGGCAAAAGCTGATGTGAAATTCAGTAGGGATAAGGGTCAAATCTGGCTCTTAGAGTTTAAAATTCAGCAGCATAATTATAGCCTAGGGAAGACATGGCTAGTCAGTGGTTTGTGTGAAAATGATATAGGGGGCTTTAATTGACTGCAAACTCAAGATGAGTCAACAGGATGACCTGATTGCCAGTAAAGCTAACATGACGATTTGTGTGTGTGTGTGTGTGTGTGTGTGTGTGTGTGTGTGTGTGTGTCTGATCGTTTCAGTAGTATCTGACTCTTTGTAACCTCATTTGGGGTTTTATTGGCAAAAATACTGGATCACATAGGCTGGATTAGTAGAAGGATAGTACCCAGAAGAAGAGAACTCATAGCCACAGTCTACTCTGAGCTGGTCAGTTAATAATTGGAGGGTGTCCAATTCTGGTTTTTAAGAAGAACACGAGTAACCCTGGCAAATCCACATGAGATTAAGTAGAATGGCGAGAGAGTCTCAGAAATGATTATATGAGGGGGATATTTGGAAGAACTAGGAATATTTAGCCTAAAGAAGGAGATATTTTGAAAAAAGCAGCCATTTTCCCTTAAGGTTCAAAGGGTTGTCATAGGGAAGAAAAGTTATACTCATTTAGTTTAGCTCCAAAGGACATAACTAGGAGCAATGAGTGGAAGTTATAGGACTCAATACAAAGGAGAATTTTCTAACAATTAGAGCTGTCCTAAAATAGAACGGAATTCTTTGGGAAGGAGTGAATTTCCTGTCAGTGGAGGTGTTTTAGCAGAGGCTAGTTGATCATTATCAAGCATGTTGGAAAAGCAATTCGTGTATTGGGCAGGGAGGGGGACTAAATAACCCTGAAGATTCCTTTGAATTCCTAGACTGTGATTCTTTGATGCTATCAAAGTTATAATGGAAGAATAACACATTTAAAGGTCAATTTCATTATCAGGCAGATACAGGTTTGCATTTAATAATGCCATTGCCTTGCATTATGTTTTTTAACAGTATTTTATTTTTGCCCCAATTACATGTCAAGACAATTTTTAGCATTTGTTCCTACAAGATTTTGAGTTGCACATTTTTGTCCTTCCCTTCCCTCCCTTCCCCTCTTCCTAAAATGGTCGGCAATTTGATATGTTATACATGTGCCAGAATGTAAAACATTTCCATATTAGTCAGTTGTGAAAGAAGAAACAGATCAAAAGGAAAAAAAAACATGACAAAGAATAAAGTAAGTGACAAAAGTATGCTTTCATCTGCATTCAGAGTTCATCAGTTTTATCTGGATGTGGATGCCATTTTCCTTCATGAGTCCTTTGTACTTGTCATTGATTATTGTTGTTAAGAGTCATTCATAGTTGATCATCACACAATGTTGCTGATACTATATGCAATGTTTTCCTGGTTCTGCTCATTTCACTTTGTATCAATTTGTATAAATCTTTCCAGGTTTTTCTGAAATCTGCCTGTTCATCATTTCTCATTGCACAATAGTATTCCATTACATCCATATACCACAGCTTATTCAGCCATTCCCCAATTGATGGGCATCACCTTACTTTCCAATATTTTGCCACCACTATTAGGGCTGCTATAAATATTTTTGAACATGTAGGTCCTTTCTCCTTTTTTATGATTTCTTTTATGATTTTTATGATACAGACCTGGAAGTGGTATTGCTGGGTCAGAGTATGTACAGTTTTATAGTCCTTTAGGCATAGTTCCAAATTGCTTTCTAGAATGGTTCGATCAGTTCACAACTCCACCAGC